AATAACAATTCAAAATACATATTTTATATATAACTGCCACTCATTAATGTAATGTTATTTTTTATTTTCATAAAATAATATAAAAACATAAAAAATTATAATACATGACCCCTGTGGGTTTCTACATGTGCTGCTATGAATTTAAAATCAAACAAGTTAGAATATTTATTGTGATATTATTTAATAACCATTACCTAGTTTGAAAAAAAAAAAAAAAGTAATTATTTTTACGCTAATACAAAGACAGATATATTATTTTATTTAATTAAAAAGATATTTAATTATTATTATTTATTTAATAAAAATCTTTTAGTTAATTTAAAAACAATAAGGGGGGGGGTGCAATACTGTTATCCAGACCATTTTCATAACTGCATTACACCAATCAGAACAATATTTTCTACAGCAAAGAGAACTTAGTGCTAAAGGTGCTTAATTGTCATGAAAACGATGTCACAAAAGAAAAAAAATCTTAATCCTAAAGATTTTGAATCCTAAAACAGGATATTCTTTACGTGCAACAATTTCTGTTTTCCTTTTGATTTCTGGATGAAATATATATATAGAGATTTCTTTGTGATTCACCCATTTACCAGCCTGAGGATATTTGCTCACCGAGAGGAAGCTTGTGTCAAAGTGCAGCAGTGTCATAAACATAAGCACCAGCAGGACTCTGCCACCCAGCTGCATGTACTGTTTCGGAGAGCTCTCTCTCATAGTGGGAACCCCAGCAAACATACTCCTGCCCTCAGAGCGTGACTCTGCAAGCAGCAGCAGCAGCCCTCCACCCAGGGCCAGATTCCTGAAACACAGGCGAGAGAAGTCAAGAACGACAAGATCAGAGCACAAAACACAGGATGATCTACTCACTCCAAGCTTATCCTGCAAAGAACTTACCTCATCAAAAACTTTGGGTCCCAAAGAATGCTATAGGCAACAGTCTGAAACAGATAAAGCTCAGGACTGTAATTATACAGTTTAACTCAATTAAGAGTCCTATCCAAAGATAAGATCTAATTACAATCTTAAAGAACACAAACAGAATGCTCTCAGTCTCACCTGTAAGGCGATGATCCCAAATAATCCGAAGCAGGCATACTGTACAAAATTCCTGCTCAGGATCAGTATACAACCACCTGTTAAACACATAATAAACCATTCCATATAAAAATCTGAAGATGTTCCAAGTCGCCAGAGACATTTGCGTTGAACAAACTTCTTACCCAGCTGTCCGAGTAAGTTGATTAAAACAAACAGTGTGGCCAGGAAGAAGCCACATCCCCACGTCGTCTCAATATATTCTTTCTGCTCACTCCACTGAAACCACATGCGAATGCCGTCCTCCAGGAATGTGCTAATCAGACAGAGACGCGCTATGTGGGGCAGGTACTGCTTCGTCACTCGAAGGAACTAGCGATGAACGAAAAGACAAAGATATGAAAATCCTCAAACGTAGGTATATGCAGCAGCAACAGTAATGCTTGCCTCAGCAAACACAAATAACGTGTAATGTCATTCTGAACGCGACTATTTATAGCAATAATTTCTGATGAAAAAGGCACAGCTTTATGATCATGTACATGACTACAATTAGAGCACACATCCTAGGTCAGCATAAAGGACCTTGTTGAGATACACTACCGTTCAAAACGTTTGGGGTCAACTTGTGAATGTTGTACTAGTTTTGGTGTTTTCAAGGCCGAAACAAGGCCATCAGTGTCATCATCATCTCAGCTTATTTATTTATGGCCTAATTTTCAGTGTCATTTTAGTAAGTTGATTAAACCCCAGCCAGTGACAGCTAACTTTATTGCAATTTTTTTAAGTGTAGTTTTATCACACAGCAACAATATCAAAAATCACATTTTTGTTCATACAACTCTCATTCAGCATTCCTGCCTTTTTTGACATGTAGCATGTATTCATTTAAAGAAATTAATACGTTTAATTCATAATGTTACAAATGATTTAGATTTCAGATAATGCCATTTCAAACATTTTGGGTTCACAAAAATATTAAAGCAGCACAAATGCTTTCAACATTGATAATATTAAGAAATTCCTTGGGCACCAAATCAACATATTAGAATGATTTCTAAAGGATCATGTGACACTGAAGAGTGGAGTAATGAAGCTGAAAATTCAGCTTTGCATCACAAGACTCAAATACATTTTAAAAATAGAAAACAGTTATTTCAAATTGCAATAAAAAGTTCACTATTTTACTGTACTTTTATTCAGATAAATGGGGCCCTGATGAGCATTAGACTTATTTCAAATACATTTTTTAAAAAGTCAACATAAAAGAGAAGGACATTTATTAGTCTAGAAAGCTATTATAAATCCATCCTAGTGTGAATATTTTAGATTTACACAATCTTCATATTACATCCAGCCAAGCGCCGAAGCAGCTCTTCAAATGAATGCTGCTTAATTTTTAACCTCTGAGCTCCAATTACCCTTTTCCCCACATTTTCAGTCAATATCAGAGCACAGATGGCCAAAAGCACATCCATTTGAAACTGATGACTCATGAGCACAAGGGTTACGTCTCCAGCATTTGAATATCACTGTGGTGTGCTAGTAATCAATCTTTTCCACTTCCTCCTGCAACAGGTGATGAACAGAAATATTCAGAGATGGATAAAGATACTGCAATTTACTCTTCCAGGAAGATTACAGGATATTATACGCTCACTGCTTAACCTGTAACATGAGCTGGCTTGTTGAATTTAAGTAAGAAATGTAAGAATTAATAATATGCTTTTAATAAACAATGGTAAATTATAGAATTCTGTTATTTGTGATAAAAAACGAGCAGATTGTAGGATTACTAAAATGTATATAATCTGCCTATACATGGCAGGGTTTCATAATAACTGGACACTCTAACGCAAGCTTTGACACTGGCCTCTGCTAAGCCCCGCCCCCGGACGATCCACATCAGCACTAAGAAGAAAACGAGCCAATCAGCATTCAACAAGTACCAAGCAAGACTAAATGAATGAGAAGAGACCTCAAGGCCACTGTCTGCCTGTGTGTCAACACTTTACTCGTAGTCTGTGTGCCTGGCGGTTGTTTGACTTGTTTCCAAACAGCACAAGAATATCAAAGAGTACAGATTTGGACTCCTGCTACATGTCAAAAAAGGCAGGAATGCTGAATGAGAGTTGTATGAACAAATGTAATTTTTGATATTGTTGCTGTGTGATAAAACTACACTAAAGTTAGCTGTCACTGGCTGGGGTTTAAGTTAATCAACTTACTAAAATGACACTGAAAATTAGGCTATAAATAAATATGTTGAGATGATGATGACACTGATGGCCTTGAAAACACCAAAACTGGTACAACATTCACAACTCCATTATACACCCATACAATAATGACATATTTATAAAGTTGATTTCTACTATCAAGCCCAAATTAAGCAGAAACAACACAGCACGAAAAAGAGCCCCAAACACACATGCAACAATCGTGCATATCCTGCAACGTAAACAGCATAAAAATGCATTAATGTCCTGCTGTCGATTTCCTATTGCATATGGGCAACACAATCTCATCTTTTCCTAATCAGTCATCTTAAGATGACTATTTTATGAGTAACATACCCTCTTGCTTCATCATATTAACGGATGCTTGAATGCACTGATAAAAATGATTCAAGGATAAAGTTTGCATGCTATTCAAACATTTTGGATTCACAAAAACACAGTATATATGAATATTTGTCAAACAGTCATATATCAGTACGTTACTCGAAAGCAGCCCTAGAAAGCATAAGGTAGTTTCACTCAACTAGACTATATAAGTATGTATGTATGTATGTATGTATATATATACACACACATACTATCTTAACACTAGTACTTCGGTCCTTCTATCGTTCTATTCACAAGACTAGTTAATTAATAAACAAACCTCATTTGCAGCCAAGCAAACATGACCCGAACTATAGACGCAAACATGGACTTTCCTTAACTTAGAAAGCGTTTGTTTAGTAAAGAAGTGTGGTCTCCGTGATTTACTGTGCAACTTGGCTGGCGGGGCCTTCTGTCCTCTCACCTGATCCGCCACGTCCTCCGCGCTGCTCATCAGATCATTTTGAGCCATGACACCGAAATCCGAGAGCCGATTCCCGTCTGCAGGACACCTTTGCTTGTTTGTGCTTTTAATCGAGATCTATGTCCGCTCGCAGGTGTGTTACAGGCCTCGTACTAGCCTTGCTTTGCCGTCGTCCGTGTGTGCACTGTGTACTAGAATGCCATCTCCGCCCCATAATGCCCTGCAGGTTGTTCTGTCGTCCCCTGTAGGACACACATGTATCTGCATGCCACGTGTACTAATGCAGCCAGAATATAGCAATAGCCTACTCTCAGTTTGTAATGACATACATTTTCATAGACTGTCCAATTGCTAACAAGTTTGCAAATAAATAAATAGATTGAGGGGAAAAAATGTAACCACAATGTATGTCACCAAGTATTCAAGATTGGGGTTATGAGGGAGCTTATACCCAGATTCAGAATGTCCACAACCTTGTCCAAATCGTATATGGAAACATTAGTCATGTATTTGTATATTTTTATATCTATTACTGGTCTATAATATTAGCCAATTTTCTTATGATTAAAAAAAAGAAAAAAAAAAGAAAAATGGACACAAGATCTGTCCACTTTTAACCAAGAAATCTGTTCTACTTTTGGACATAAATTGTGGATATTAATGTTTTTGCTTCCTTTTCCCACCTGATGTTAAATGGAGGTGACTGAAACATACCTTAAATTAATACGTATTAAAAATAATGTATAATGATGAATAAGAATTAACAATGAATTACAGTTCATTTAACACCAACCGAGATTAATAAATGCTGTAAAAACATGTTGTCCAACAATTATGACTATTATTTATAATTATATATAAAATGCAATTTAATAAAAGGAAATGAGATTTACAATATTTATGAATTTAATTAGTATTACTTTAAGGTCTTCTTTCACAGATTTCACAGAAACACTTGATGAACTCCTGTGAACATGAAGATAATTTTTTTTAATTTGGTCTCTTTAAGCTCATTTGACTGTGTTCTCCTCTGAGTTCAACTGTGATGCATGACACAAACTGCGTGTGGATGCTGAGCTCATATTTTCTTGCTCTTCTGAGTAATGCACAGGGTCACAGGATGTCTTTTCTTTTTCACTGGACACATATTCTCTGTGCAACACCTGAACACTCGAGTCGGGCCTATTGCTTTCTTGACAGTGTGACTGTTTGCTTGACCCTGAGCCACAGTGTGGAGTACATATTAAGTGCTTCATGACCACGGCAGGGCTCTGTGGAGCTACAGAGTTTTTTGAGCATGGAGACTTGGATTTGTGAGGTCTTTTAGATGGCTTAAGCTTTCTCAAGTGTAAGCGCTCTCTTGAGAAATTGACATGTGGTCTGTTGAGATCTGGTTGGCTGCTGTCACTGGCACAGGAAGCAGTGAGCTCCAGGCCTTGAGGGTCGCTCAGCGGGCTGCTACACGACACATCACTCTCACAGTCATCCTGAGGTGCCTTTTTCTGCATCTTTAGGGCATTGTGCTTCTGAAAATCAAATACAAATCGGAGCATTTTGCATTGAATGAACTTTTCTGAAATTTTTTTTTTTTGTTTAAAAACTGTTCTTACATTATTTAAACAGCCATATTTCTCAGTAGTGATATAGTCTCAGCCACATTACACTCAACTTGATCTGATCAGTCCATCATACAGAGCTGTTCAGACATGTCAAAATTCACAATACTGCCCATCAAAAATTTGGAGTAATTAAAATATTAAAAATGTTTAAAAGTCTTTTATCCTCACCAAGGCATTTATTTGATCAAATGTACAGCAAAACAGTAATATTGTCAAATATTATTTATATTATTAATAAAAATGATTGAAAATATAATTTAAAATAACCATTTTCTATTTGAATATATATATTTAAAATGTAATTAATTCCTGTAAAAGTAAAGCTGAATTTTAAGCAGTCATTACTCCAGTCTTCAGTGTCACATGATCCTTCAGAAATTATTCTGACATTCTGATTTTGTGCTCAGTTATTATCAGTTATAATTGGTGCTCAATTATTGATAATGGTTCTTATTCAATTTTTGCTGCTTAATAATTTTGTGGAAACGACGATAGATTTTTTAAGGATTCTTAAATGAAAAGAACAGCATTAGTTTGAAATAGAAATCTTTTGTAACATTTTAAATGTCTATATTGTCACTTTTGACCAGTTTAGTGTGTCTTTGCTGAATAAAAGTATTAATTTCTTCTTCTATTTTTTTCTTTAATTGTACTTACCCCAAACTTTTGAATGGTAGTGTATAACTATCACAGTTTCCACTATGCAGCAAAAACTGTTTTCTATACATTAATAATAGGAAATGTTTATTGAGCAGCAAATCAGCATATTAGAATGATTTCTGAAGGATCATGTGACACTGAAGACTGGAGTAATGATGTTGGAAATGATTACATTTAAATTATATTAAATTAGAAAACAAGTATTTTAAATGAAAGATATTTAACAATTTTACTTTATTTATTTATTTTACTGTTTTTTTAATCAAATAAATCCAGCCTCGGTGAGCCTAAGAGATTAAAACATTAAATAAATCTTACCGACCTCAAACTTTTGAACAGTGGTGTAGGTTTAAAGAAATTGCAACAGCTGATTTCAGATTTGCTCGCCTCTTAAATGGCAAACACATTAAGGAATAACTGTAGATACCATATAAACCACTAAATTCTAATGTCAAATTCCCTCTTCTTCCTCACCTGTAAGTTCTGGAAGTGCATAAGAGATCTGCAGTGAGTTTTCCGTGCAGAAGACTCAAAGTGGTAGAATTTATGACACAGCTTACAGAGGAAACCAGCGACAGGGACCACAAAACTAGTGCCTGAGGGTCAGAAAGCAGTCAGATCAGTCAGATTAACTTACTCACAAACTATTCTTTGACAGTCTACTCTAGAGAAGTGCTTGAAGCCCAGCACTCACCATAATGTGTGTCTGGATCATATGCCTCATAATCAATCGTCTCTTCAAGAGCCATATCCCTATGAGCAGGATGCTATAAACAAAATTCAAGTAAAAAAACTCCAAAAGAGACTCAAATTTAGGAAAGCACAAGATGTCATGCAACTAACCTTCTCAAACACTGCAATCTCTTCTTCATTTCTATCCTCCTCATAATCATCTTCCCCTTCGAAGCAGCCAACAGCATCCACAGTTATGAGCTCCTCCATAACCTCTGGGCCACCTTCATTTCTTAACTTAAATGTTCAAAGAAATACGTTTTATTGATGTCATTTTATGCATTTTGCATTAAAATGTCTATGAAATACCCAAACAAACCTTCTCAACCCTCCGTTTGTGCTCAGGAGACTTCATATGCTCAATAAACTTGCGAGGAGTTCTAAAGTGGCGCTCACACAGGGTACAGAAAGGTCTTGAGGACACTTTTGCCATCTAATGAGGAGACAAGACATAGCATTTTCATATAGTTAGTGGTTAAAACACTGCTCCTCAAGTACATGTGGATATTTCTGTGGTGATTAGATTTGGTGGTATTTTTGTTAATGTTGAGATCACCTTGTGCTTCTTAGTTTGTCTGTGCTCGATGAGGTCACCAGAAAAATGACACTGGCAGTTTGGACACCATCGCTGATGACCCATCCTCCTCTCTCTGTTACAGAGCAAAAAACTGCTGTGTTCTAAATGCAGTGTTGTGTTGTCATTTTCTTTTAACGATATGCAATAATGGAATACTTAATATTTACATTTTTTAAATGTGAGTTACATACACTACACTAACAAATTACTGTACATTTGGGGTTCTATCCAGCAAGGATGCATTAAAATCATCAAAGGTGACTGTAAAGACCTTTACATTGTTACAAAAAAGTCTGTCAAATAAATGCTGTTCTTTTGAACTTTCTATTCATTGAAGAATCCTGAAAAATGTGTCACAGTTTCCACAAAAGTATTAGAAAGTACAAATGTTTTCAACATTGATAATATGGCAAAACTGATGTTGTCTATGCCATTTGACTGTGAAAATATGAAGTTTAATCAACAGCCTAAATTGTGTAAGTGCCTGCTGTGATTCAGTTGACTATAAAAATGAATAAAAAGTGTTTTCAATTTTAGAAATTACTTATTTTTTTTAGCTTGTTATTACTTACTTATTAAAAAATAAGTTATGGTAGTATAAAAATAATTTATATTATAAAACATATCAAACAAAACAAGAAAATAAAGGTGCTATGAAATTATTTTGCCACTTTTTACTTGATACACTATGTTTAGAGTCATTAAATCAAAGTTGTAAAATAGTATAAATGTTTTCCAAAAATGTACGAAACCAACATGAACACAAAGATTAGAGAATTGATTTAAACTAGATTTTTTTAAATTTCCTTCCTTATCTTGGGTATCTCAGACCGTCACTGACTCAAAACCGTTCTGACAGTGCTACAGTGTTTGTTTGTACGTCTTTCGAATGAGACGTTAAACCGAGGTCCTGACTCTCTGTGGTCATTAAAAATCCCATGGCACTTCTCATAAAGAGTAGGGGTGTAACCCCGGTGTCCTGGCCAAAACTGCCCCCCTGGCCTTTGTCAATCATGGCCTCCTATTAATTAATTAATTAATGAGAGTATAGTTCCTAGCCATATCGGTCTAGAAAATCGCAACTTTTCATCTTCCGTCGGTTTTAGTACACGATGTAACTACAGAAGAGTCAAGTTTTAAACAGGAAAAATATCGAAACTCTTTGGTCATGTTTGAGCGAGATGCTAACGACCTTATCAGATTCAATGATCTATGCTAAGCTAAGCTAAAAGTTCTACCGCCAGACCCGGAGATCGGCTGAATGGATTCGAAAACGGTAAAACTGAAGTTTAACTCTAGGGGAGTTGGAAAATGAGCCTATTTTCAAAAATAGTGGAGTGTTCCTTTAAAAAAAACTCCATTCAAGAATC